GTTTATGTTTGAGCCCCCCCCCCCCCCCCCCCCCCACCAAAAAAAAAAGATGAAAAGAAAAATGAATAGAAAAGAGTTGCATTAGGCATATATGCCCAAGATTTGTTTTTAGTCAAACAGAATGTGACAGATATTCATGTAAAGAAATGATCTACCAAACACTGTGTGCTATGCATTGTTGACATTTTCATTTTACAAACGATAACTGCCCAAGTATATATCTGATTGAGTCACTCGACCTACAATATGAAAAAACTACCAGCATTATATATCATTCAGAACTTTCGGTTTGATAGGGATTAAAATTAAATTTTGAGTAGATTTTGATAAAATTCGATGAAACGTGTGATTGAAAAGTTTTGGATCTAATAAAATGTGTGGTTAAAATTAATTGGTGACTCAAGGGCTATATATTGTTCAGTACTATTCAGTCTACTTACGAGACATGCCACGATGGCAAGTAACTTGGATGGATCAAAAGAACGATTGAGAAAAACAAGGCACATGATTTGTTGGCCATTTTCAGTAACCCCCCTAAATTTTGAAGCAACAAATATGGGCACCAAATAGCTTTTGTACAATGAACACAAATCATAGGCTGTCTAGATTACTCTTAAAATTCGTTGTATCCTTATCCTTACTTTCCCAGAGGGCAACCTCTATGTATACCTTGTTAAGACAAGTATTATTTTGAGTACAAAATACTTCAATTTTTGGGACAAATTATGTGGAAAGAGAATTGGCAATATAAAGAATAAAAGAAAACCTAAAGACGGCAAAAATTGGACCAGTTAACAACAACATCTTTACCATTAAAATTGAACCCAATGATTTACAATTAAGAATCTAATTTTCAATAATATCCAACTAAAAGTGCAAAAAAGCAAACACGACTTGATTTTTACCGAACATTTCCTAAAAATATCATATAGAGCTAGCAAGGCCTAATATTTTTAGTAGTCTCCGGTGCCAAACCATCTCTATCCCAACATGGTCATCACTCGTCGTAACAAATTTTGATTCTTCAATCGAAAAAAGTTAAAAACTATAATTTTCTTTTGAAACTCTTGCGTTATGGCTCCCTTCCTTCAATGAATAAATTGTGCCTCAGCTGTATGGACAAACCATGCCTTGAAATTTTTTACGAGCAACTCAATACATTTTAACATCATTAACTATAACTTAATCGCCCACTGGGGCATAATCCAGTGGTGCAAAGGATATGAATGAGATAGTTTCAACCTTGCTGGCAGTCGTAGTGTGAGGGTTCGATTCCTGAGATATGAAATTTGACTTTTTGTGGGTACTAGTGTACGGACAAATTCTTGTTCCCTAACCTGCGGGGACATATCCCGCGATTTACCTAATTCACAATGCTTCAGAGACGAGACTGTGAAGGTCTTCAAAATTAGGGTTCAACCATTAAAATTGACAACCAAAAAATAGATGAGTAAGCAATACTCACGTTTATCCATTTTTACCTCAATCTCGGATCCAAACACAATCACCACCGACCACTCTCATAACCCTATCCCTATGTATTCCCCCCCTCAAATATATTCTCTCTAATCCATCCGAAGTACACACGCTTATTCTATTCTATCATGGCTTCTTCATCATTCTATCTCACAAACCAAATAATAGGTACCAAATTCTCGCCACCATCTCCTCTGCGCCATATTGGTTTCCTCCGCCCACTTCTTATCTCCGCCACCACCGGGACGGCTTCTAGTAGCAGCAGTGTTTCACAAACGGCGTCGTTGTACGAACTTCTGGGATTACAGATTAATGCTTCAGGTCACGAAATCAAGACGGCGTACAGAAGATTGGCCAGAATCATGCATCCTGACGTTGCATCGAACGTCGGAGAAAATGAGATGTCAGCAGCCGATCAATTTATGAGATTGCATGCCGCTTATGCCACTCTATCTGATCCTGAGAAGCGTGCGAATTATGACCAAGCACTTTCCCGCCGCCGGCCGACAGTGAGCGCGAGAATGTGTGCCGGTTACACTTGCGGGAACCGGAATTGGGAAACTGACCAGTGCTGGTAGCTCAATTAGTGAAATGACATATGTTTGGCAAAGCTTAAAAATAAGTATATTTCGTGAGTTATACATGTGCAAGGCTGAAAATAAGTAGGTATTAAGAATCATTTAAGATAAACTATCCAGTATTGTATAATTTACTTATAGATCAGGCTGGGATTATGTCATGCTATATTATGTCATTCAAATCTTGCCCTTTGGATGAACAAGAGAGTTCAATATCAAATTGTACTTAGGCTATCAAACTTCAAAGACAATGGGATTGAATCTTGAAACCATCCTTTTGAAATTGGCTACAAAGAGTATGTTTAAGAGATTCTCTAAACATAAAATGCTCTCGATGTTAGAGAGTTGATGTTTAAAAATAAGCTTCATATTTTGGAGTGCTAAATTCAATCTCTATTCTTAATCATCAATAATTGCATTTAGCTGCTGTTTGGTACTCATTCTTTTTTGCCATTAATACATTTTTCTACCGTTGGGTGTCACGTCTGACACACCATGTGATGGTGTACAGTGCCTACACTTTCATTTTTCCTCCAATTGTCCCTCCCACCGACATAAGAACTCTCTCACCTTTTGGTTGAAACCGACGACATCCGGCATAAATGTTTCCAAACGACCACGAAACCTTCCACACACACAGCCACCGATTTCAACTGTGGTGACAGTCGCGGCAACGAAGAGTGCGGGAAAAGGGCTCCACGTTGACCGCTTCTTTGCAATCACTCGCCTGCAAAAAATCCCCAGTACACAGCTTCTCCACCCATCGAAAATGGAGTCTGCAGGAATACAGGTACTTCCACTTCCTTCGCCTTGTTTCTTGTCCTCAATTCGTTCAAGCCGCATTCCATTTATTTACATGGGCAGAAAAGAACTTCATAATAATGACAAAAAAGGACAAAGTTGGCATTTTGCACAATTTGAATTTTAATGGGAAAATAAAATATTGCATAGTCCCCACGTCGATGTGATGAAAAAAATACAATTTGAAAATTAATAGAAAACAAACGAGGGCTTAATAAATTATAAATTTTAACACTTTATAATTTAAATTTTAAATTATTCAGATCACATTTAAATTGATTGATCATTATTCGAACAAAACTCGCAAGTGTACAGAATTATTGACAAGCAATAATGTGACGAGTTGATTTATAGTCCCACGATGAATAACTATTAATTCTAGAGTACCAGTTTCTACCAAATTCAATCTACATGACACAAAATATTTAGATGTTTTGTAATTATTTTAAACTAAATTAAGAATACTGTAAAAGATTGTTTTGTAAATGAATGTATTGAATTTCAAAATTCACCTATTGGTTTCTATTTCCAATTCTCGACTTCTGTAAGTTAGTGTTATTCCGTGTTCGTGACAATCAATAATCCTCTAATGTCTAATACTCTTTTTTGAGATACATATTAGACCTATCCTTAGCACTATCTAGTTTGAATTTATATGTAAAGCAAGCATTTATATTTTGGAGAGTCAAATTCACCATCTATTCTTAATTATCAATGATTGCATTTAATTAATTACAAATTTTAATACTTTATATTTAAATTATTCAAATCACATTTAAATTGATTGATCATTGTTCAGACAAAACTCATAAGCTTACAAGATCATTGACAAGTAATAAATAAATTGAGTTATCGTCGCACGATGAATAACTATTAATTCTAAAGTGCTAGTTTCTATCAAATTCGATCTATGTGACACAAAATAGTTAGATGTTTTGTAATTATTTTAAACAAACTAATAAAACCTGTAAAAGATTGTTCTGTAAATGAATATATTGGATTTCAGAATCCACCTATTGGTTTCTATTTTCAATTCTCAATTTAGGTAAGTTAATGTTATTCTCGTGTACATGGCAATTAATAATCTAGTAATATCAAATATTCTTTTTCAAAATATATTAAACTTATCCTTAGCACTACCTTTCCTATTCCTAGTCTAAACACATATATAATGCAAGCATTCAATCATACCCGATTATCGCACACAATTGCACATGCCTTAAATATCATTCATAATACCTAGTACCCACGAGTTAAATATGCAGTATTTTACTTATTGTGAGTCTCTCAACATTATGAATAAGCAATAGGTTTTCTAATTGGTAGCTTAGCAATCAATTAAAACAATATTCATGCATACTTAATCACAAACACGATAAATAATTAAAATACGAAAAATCTTAAATTAGAAATATAACATAAGAAATTCCATCATTCATTCAATACACAAGAAAGGTTTAGTCTAATATAATTGTATCTAAGTTACACAAGAAGTTAAGAGACATTACCCAATTCAAATAATGGATGTAGAAATTTGAGAAATCAATTTCTTTTACTTTCTTTCGATTTGTGCATTGAATCTTCAATTCCTTTTGTTAATTCTGTCTAAAGCTCGTGTTAGAGTTGCTTCAATGATAGGATAAGTGATGATAGTTTCAAAGTACGTTCTAGACGACTCTTTCTCGATTAAAAAGGTGTAAAAATATCATACTATAAAGAATCGAAGTAAGAAAAAGGAAAGAAAATATTTCTCAGCCGGAAAGCCATGCGTACGCATGGTATATGACATGTCTATGTATAGTAGAGTGATTTTAGCTTCAGTCATCCTATAATGGGGGCTCTTGTATGCACAGCTTGCAAGCCAATGCGTACGCATAGTTTTTCATTTTGGAGCCAATTGTGCAAATTGGTACCTGAACTTTTTGCAATGAATTTTTTTATCCTTTTCACTTGTGATTTCATCCATTTAATGTCTTCAATTGAGTTTGTAGCATCTTCACTCTTCATTTTATGTCTCGATGCAACGATTGAAATGTTGCAATTTAGTTCCCATAGTTTTAATTTTGTTATTCTTCTTTATTTTTAGCTTGTTTTCTCTAATTTTTCATAAAATCAGGAGTTTTATCTAATAAACACAAATTAAACTATATTTTATCAAAAGAACTACAAAATGTCATTATTTATAACCCCAAATAAGCGTATGAATCACACTTATAAATCATTAATTTATAAAAGAGGTGATGAGAAATCAAAAAATATTTAATGGAAAAAAACAAAATAAAGAGAGTATTATTAGAGTGTATAGAAAAATTTATTCTATAAGTTTAAATATACTCTATTATACATAAAATGTTCTTTATAAATAGAGAGTCTTGTGAAAATTCTCTAATACTAGAATTAGTACATAGAAAGATATAGTACATATTGCAAATTGAAATCTCAAGAGGCAAATGGGCCCAAAGAGAAAGATTTTGACTCAATACTATTGATGTATTTTTCACATAATGTCGAACTTTTTTCCATTAATGGGTATATATGATTTTTTTTTAATTTTTTTGCTCTAAAACTTGTGTAGTGTGAAAGTTTGACAGCTTATGAGTCAAACGGGCCCAAATAGGAAGACAAATGGATAAGGTAGGCCTAGCCATGATACTCATAAAATATTTCCATCCATACTAGTAACAAGATGGCAAAGCTAATATAAATTGGTTCAACATATTTTTCATTCACATATTTCATAAGATTCACAACTTATTAACATTTAAAAACATTAATAAACATGCTCTATAAGCAAGTTTGTGAGTTATTTATTAAAGGATTCAAGTATTAATAAATAAAAATGAGTGGAAAAGTGGAGAAGAATTTATTAACCACAAAATATGAATATAGAAAGTGATATGATCAATTATAACACATAAGCCAAACAATGGTTAAATGGATGGAACCTAGAAACATATAATTGTTTTCAAAAGGTGATTTCATCAAGAAACATAAAATTGATAGTGCTTTAATTTCTATTCCCATCAAACCATGTTTAGATCCCGAGTATCTATTGTTTCGACCTTGACATTTGGTGTGTTCTTCCACTTCCTTTGGTGGTGGCTCAAAGTTACTGAGATACTACAAAGTGCGCTCTCTCTCCAATTTTCACTCTCGCTCGATATTTAATTTTGAAAATTGGGGTTTTATCCCTTTTTTTGTGTAGCTTGTTTTTGTCCACAAAATTCATTTGCTGCTTTTGACGATTCAACTTGCTAAGTTTTTTCTTGAAGATTTTTCAAGAATAAATCATGGATACTACTATTTACATCCACAATTTTTAAATATATATATCCACTTTTAAAAAAATAATTATATTAAGTTTTTTATCTTATGTAAATTTACATAAGTAGACATATATAAAGTTAAATAAAAATATATTGTTCTAAATTTATCCACTAACGTTTATTTTCATAAATTCTTTTAAACATTTATATATTCTTATAGAGTTTGTGATTAACTAAACTTCTAATAATCATATATAAAATATCATCTTTAATTACAATCATAAAACCCTAATCATAAAACATCATCTTCAATGGAAATTTAAAAAAATAAATAAAAAAAATCAACACATTATTTGAGTTATAATTTGTTCATGATATGAAAACTGGAATTTTATTTTTTATACTTTTTTAAAATATTGATTTGATAGATGAAAACATACGAGAAATTTCAAAATATGTTTCAATACCTATCCAAATATTCTTCTATTATAAAAGGAAACAAATTTAAAATTATCAACTGAAACACAAAAAGCCAAATTATGAGCTTATAAGCAAAAATAATAATTAATATATGATTCGATGAGGGATTCGTTTTGTTTGTGCAGTATACTCTTGAGAGAATCCTATAACTTTAAGAAAAGAGATTTGCTAACTTTTATAACTAAATATTAAAGCACCAACATGACAATATAGAAAATAAAAAATAAGAATAAGATTAAATGTTGATAGTGATTTTCAAAATTGAATTAGAAATGTATTCATAGTGGGATGAATAAATAAAATTTGTATGAATATATAATGTTTAAATGAATGAATTTAACAAGGACAATATTGAAATTTGAAGTGTATGAAAATAGTAATTTTTTATATTTTAATAGGGGTGTATATAGAGTGGGATGCATATATAAAAACTGCGAATGAAAATAATGGTACCCTAAATCATTTGACACTTGGTGATCAAGTTGAAACTTATATTTTTTATATACTTCTCTAATAAAGAATTTGAAGGATTGGATGTCCTTAAATGTTCTTTGGGAGAAGTTAGTTATTACGAAGAAAAGTAGAGTATATCCATTTGTTAACAAGCATTTGACTTTGGAACTACTTCTTCTGGTTGTTATTTCTGAAAGAGTATTTCTTGCAAATGAACGTTGTAAGGAATGAATATCACCATTGAATTGGAAATCAATTGATGAATAACAGTCACATTGTTTATGTTGAGAATTAAATATTTTTAAAAATTGATAATGAAATCATTTTACAAAGGAATCGGAGTATGAAAACTCATAAAGAACGATTGTCAGATATGTCATTTTAGTATTGTTGTGCACTTGTACTTTTATTCTTTTGATTTTTCTACCTTCATTAAATACAAGCTCATATATTTTGTCACATTTTTTATGAGATGGTAGTTGAATTGAGTAGCTTTTAGAACCTTTTGATCTGTTGAGTCGAGCCATAATTAGTTTGTATGACTTGTGTAATTCACGCAGTCATTATCTTTTGCGGACACATGTTCATAGTAATCAAGGTATTTTGTGTGTCATGTACATAAACATATGGGACTTGTTGCATTTTCTGTGGATTCATGAATATTCGTGTTAATTTTATAAAAAATTTCTAGGGGGTTTATTCAACCAATAAATGGAAATAGCTATTTATTAACCTGGGTTGCTTTCTTTTTCTAATTTTTGATGGCCAACTTGCTGTTTTGGTAGATAACTATCTGGAAAAAATGTATCATTCCGGCGGCTGATGCTTCTATATGGCAGCCAAAGAAAATCCTCAAAATTTTATGTTTTGAAAACTCCAATTCCAGTAGCTTTTTTCTTCGTTGGTGGCGGCAGATTTCCTTGAACTTTTGGTAGAGAAACTGCCTGAAAAAATTATATTTTTCCCGATGGTTTTTGGGATGTGGTAATATGGTTAATGTATTGATTTCCATAGACGATATCAATCTATTGACTCCAAAAAATATCACCAACAGATATGTTAGGTCTATAAGTGTAATTGGCTAATCTGTGGACAAAACAGACTAAATTGTATAATTGTAAAAGTCAGGGACTTAATTGAATATTGGTGTAAAAGTAAGGGACTTAGGGTGCAATTTATATAGATGAGGTAAATTAGTGTTCGAGTTGTTGAAGGAGCCCAAGATGTCCAAGAAGATCGCACAAGATCATCGGAATGCAATTGGAAGTCTAAAGGATATCAAAGAGTCGCACAAAATATGTTCCGAATTTTCAATCCTAACTTGCAATGTATTTTTCACATAAAAAACGTTAGAATTTGGACAAGGCTATTTCTAGAATAATTGTAGCTCTTTGAAATAACTTTCTAACACAACTTGAATAACCTCAATCGGATATCAGACGAGAAAGTTATGATGAAAATACAGACGACTGCTCACTGTCGCTCACTTCTCGCTGGCATTTCGCTCGAGCAAAAAAAAAAAGAATACCTCTCGCTCGAGCGACACTTCTATACGGAAAAAACTCTATTTCACATTTTTGAAGTATTTTACTTAGCCCATACCACCTAGATACCTTAAAATATAAATACCCAAACCCTAGCACGAATTTTGAGAGATTGCTACATTATTCTTTCATTGAAAAAGATATTCATAATATCTTTGAAGAGATCCAAGGTGCAATTAATTGGAGATTTCATCTACATCAATCTTGTGATTCGACAACCATTGTTTTGGGTAAAAACATTGAATCTACATAACCCAAAATACCTTACTTCTTTAATCTATTGAGAAAGTGACTCTCTCATTGGAGGATTGAGAGAGGTGGATTGAGGCGCAGTTACAAGCACAAGAACGGGCGGTTCTTGGTGTTTCACTTGGTGATACAATCAGTTAAGGACCAGGAGGTTGTAGTGAACAGTAGATTGGACTGCAGGAGGTAGATCAGGAAGTCTAGCAAGAGGCTAGAAGTACTACAGCAGTAGATCGTGAGACTAGAACAGCGGGTCTGATTGGGTATGAAGTTTGGTATGACTTGTACTTGCTGAATTGGTATAGTGGAGGTAATTGGTTTGGTCCTGAAGTTTTACCCACGTTGGGATTTTTCCGTCATCATATTGTTTGTTATTTATTGCTTTGCATAATATACAAACTGCGGCATTCCAACATAGGTTAATTGACTTGTATGATTAATCATCGTGAGACTAGAACAGCGGGTCTGATTGGGTATGAAGTTTGGTATGACTTGTACTTGCTGAATTGGTATAGTGGAGGTAATTGGTTTGGTCCTGAAGTTTTACCCACGTTGGGATTTTTCCGTCATCATATTGTTTGTTATTTATTGCTTTGCATAATATACAAACTGCGGCATTCCAACATAGGTTAATTGACTTGTATGATTAATCACCTAGACAACTAATTAAAGTGACTTGTTGCTTTAGTTAGATTAATTCCACATGTAAAGTCAAATTGGTTAAAGTGAAATCTAGAACGTAAACTTGGTAACGCATAAAATTTGAACTTGATACTTTATCACGTTAGTCGAACTTTCTAACACATCTAAGCATTCTAGGTCAAATTTTTTTCAAGTGGTATCAGTACCTAAAATCGTGTCCTAGCCTTAAATAGTCTAGATGAGCACCTCATTGAATGTACCGTCCCACTTTTATGGTAGTAACTATGCATACTGGAAGGTTGGTCTGCCCCTAGTACCACAATAGATGGTGTAGTCACTCCCACCCCCGTAGAAAACTGGTCTAGAGCATAATTGGATAGTTGTAACTTTAATAGCAAGGCCATACATGCATTGTTTATGGTTGTGTCCTCTGACGAATTTAGGAGAGTATCTATGTGTGAGGTAGCTAAGGATGTTTAGGGTATTTTACAAACCACACATGAGGGAACCTAAGCCATTAAAAATTCTAAGTTACAGATGCTAACCAGTACGTTCGAGGAAATCAAGATGAGAGATGATGAGACATTTGATGTCTTTTATGCGAGCTTAAATGATATAGTGAATTCTTCCTTCAACCTAGGTGAGAAAATTCCTGAGCCCAAGATAGTTAGAAAAATTCTTAGATCCTTACCCGAGTGTTTCAGGCTGAAAGTCACAGCTATTGAGGAAGGTAAGGACATAGACACTATCAAGGTAGAGGAGTTAGTCGGATCCCTCCAGACCTATGAGTTGACCTTAGACAATCCTACTAAGGAAAAATCCATAGCCTTGAAATTCGCTAGGAACAATCGGATGGAATCTTCTAATTTAGATTCACTCAATGATGAAGAGATGACCTACCTAACTAAGAAATTCTGAAAAATGTTTCCGAGTGAATCTAGGAAGAAATCTAAATCCGTGAGATGCCATAACTGTCGCGGTTTCGGTCATATGAGGAATGAGTGCCCTAGTGCTAAGAGATTTGAAGAGAAGGCTATGAATACTACTCTCACTGATGACGAGTCTAGATCGGACAATCAAAGTGAGAAATCCACCTGTGAGAAGAGTGGAAAATATGTGGCTTTCGTTGCTAGGGGTAAAAGTGGATCCGAACAGGAGAGTGATAGGAAAGAGGACTTAGATAGTAGTGAAGAATATGGTGATGAGAGTGGAAGTGAGCAAGATCTAGAAACAGTCTATGATAGGATGTATGAGGAAAGCCTCAAGATCTTAGCCACTAACCAGTACTTGTTGAATTGGTATAGTGGAGGTAACTGACTTGGTCTCGGAGTTTTACCCACGTTGGGGTTTCTCCGTCATCATATTATTTGTTATTTACTGCTTTGCATAATATACAAACTGCGGCATTCCAACAAAGGTTAATTGACTTGTATGATTAATCACCTAGACAACTAATTAAAGTGACTTGTTGTTTTAGTTAGATTAATTCCGCACGTAAGGTCAAATTAGTTAAGTGAAATCTAGAACGTAAACTTGATAACGCATAAAATTTAAACTTGATACTGTATCACGTTAGTCGAACTTTCTAACATATCTAAGCGTTCTAGGTCAAATTTTTTTCAAGATCTTCGGCCTCATCCCCTCCAAGCCTGCACACGGAACACCCCGTTAGGAGGCAAAGGCTGCCGATCAAGAAAAAGATTCGGCAACTATTTGCACTCCAACGATCAACTTAACAGTAGAACGAAAAGAAAATAAAGAGTGCAAGAGTTGGGAAAGTGTGAAATTGGCTAGAGTTTAGAAATGTATCTTAATTGTATAATGAAATTCTATATATATAAAAAATGAAGATGGACCGAGTGCGTTAATGGACCTCATCCAAGTTCAATTGGGAGGCCCAATATGCAATAATTTATAGGTATATAAAAATGATCGAGTTATTAATATTATGTCTCGATTAGTATGTATTAGGGGGGACGGGTGGACTCCATTTGTTATCCAATGTACATGTTTAAGAAATTTTGTTGCATGTCAAGTTTGATTTAGTTGAAATTACAAGGTAAACCATGTCAAATTTTTTATTAAAATTATTACAGGAAAAGTTGACATTGATGATGGGTCGATCCTTAACTACCATACTTCATACACATCGGCACTTCAATAATTTCTTAACTACCCTCCCTATGTCCTAATATAATTTTTCTCCCCCATCATCAAATGAAACATAATCAATCACAAATAATTATGATAGTCAATTCGCTTGTTTTCACATCTAGATCCATAATTGTTATTACTTCGACCTCGTTGGTATACAAAACTTCAACACCAATTTTCATTTTCTTTTTTTAATTGGAGTGGATGAACCAATAAACATCATTAAAAAGAATTGAACAACACAAGTGACAAGTCATCTCCATTTGAATAGATCACCATTCTTGCATTCAAACATCCAATTTTTCTTACCCACCCAAACCTGTTTTACTAACTCGAACACCAGAAGTAAGATCAAGAAAACGACGTCGGTTTTGTCCACACCAGTCGGATCACACGAGTCACGGGCCCAACATCCCCATTTCACCACCACTGTAATTTATATATATATACACACCCACAAAAGGCTGCCATTAAACCTCATACTTCCTCTCGTTTCTCATTCAGCCGCCACCGCCAACCGCCGCCTCTTTCTACTTCCTATTTTTCTTATACATATAATATATATAAACACTCGATGGCAAAGATTTACTTACATGTTTTGTTTCTGACATTAACAAACTTTCTTATATCAGGTAAATTGATGAACTAAGCTCAGTCTAGATTGCATGAATACTTTTACTCGGAAATTATGATTAGAAATTTTATCTTGTGTTACAGGTGTATATCCATCGGCCACATTTACAGTGGTAAACAAATGTGAGTTCACTGTTTGGCCAGGCATTTTATCGAACGCGGGAATTGCACCGCTTTCGACGACGGGTTTTGCTCTACAAAAGGGCGAATCGAGGATCATCAACGCACCGTCGTCGTGGGGTGGCCGGTTCTGGGGCAGGACACGCTGCAGCGAGGATTCAACCGGGAAATTCTCCTGCTTGACCGGCGATTGTGGCTCCGGGAAGATAGATTGCGCCGGGAATGGTGCTGCTCCGCCTACTACATTGGCGGAGTTCACACTCGACGGTGATTCCGGCATGGACTTCTATGACGTCAGCCTTGTCGACGGGTACAACGTGCCAATGCTTGTGGTGCCCCAGGGAGGTTCGGGGGTTAACTGTACGTCGACGGGATGCATTACGGATCTGAACGGTGCGTGTCCGTCTAATCTCCGGGTGACAAGTTCCGATGGGGAAGACGTCGCGTGCAAGAGCGCATGCTTAGCTTTCGGGAAAGAGGAGTTCTGCTGTAACGGCGCGTACAGTACACCTGATGCTTGTAAACCGTCGTCATATTCTCAGGTGTTTAAGAGCGCGTGTCCACGTGCCTACAGTTACGCATACGATGATAAAACCAGTACCTTCACATGCGCCGGCGCGGATTATTTCATAACATTTTGTCCATCGCCAAATGCTAGGTGAATTTACTATAATGCCCATTCTAGCCGTTTTGCGTCCTTTAAATATATATAAACAGACGGTTCGTCAAAATGATTAATTCGATTGAACGATTACATTTGCGTTATAAGTTAAATGGGCAATTTTGTCCTTTCATCAACATTTCACAAAAACGGTTGAATTTGGCCGCAATGCCAAAATAGATTTCGTGTCTTACTTTTTTGAAAAATAATATTTTTACATGTTTTATTACATTTTAAATATTTAACAAATTACTCTTGTTTTGTTACGTGGTTTCAGCAAGAAATCATCATCCGAGATACAAAACGGAGGATCAGAAGACAACGCTTCATCATTGATCAACAACACGATGGTGTACGAAGGAGCGTCGCAGGTGAGCGGGGCACCATCAATTTATGCCCACTTTTTTAGTTCACATGCCATTGCCTTTCCCGGCGCCTTCGCTGTCGCGGCGGCAGTGTTGCGGTTGTGTCAGTTTTTCTGAGTTTTCTCCGCCATGTTATGCAACGTGATCGTGTCGGAAATCAGGTGGAATTGGTGCATCTGGACCGTTGAAAACTCTTTTGGGCCTCATGATTTTGACGTGGCCCAAGAATATGGCCCATGTGACGAGGAATCGAGTCACCTAGAAATTTATTTGTCGACGGAAAAAAAAAAAGGAATATTTTAGTCTTACAAAAGTAGGCAACGTTATTAAATATAATGGGTGGTTTTTTGTTATATAACTTTTGTATTAGATTGGGTGTGGAAGATTCATGCGGCAGGTTAGGAGCATAATTTTATATGTAGCTTCATTTAGATTGGTCCAAAAAAAATATAGAATTTTAATTTATTATTATTTTTGTCCTTGTCTTGGGGTATTATTTGTTTCATAACAAGCTAAATGAGTTGATGTAAGCAATAAAACAAGTGATTTCCAAATAATTGCATAATTTAAGGTTTAGTGTTAATGGCAATGCTTGAATTTCTGCTACGAATGATATTATAGATTTTCATAGTCGAAAATGGACCATTCTCCCATTAATGTCATCCACTTATTTCACTCTTCCACGTTCCATAGTCCAATTTGTTGAAGAAATAAATAGAGGACATGTTCGATTACAATAAATAGAATTTTATCTTTTATTTACTTAATTATGTGAAGTACATTTGAGATAAACGTACCATGTATAACAATAAGGTACGCATTGTGTAGTAAATTAAATTATATTGATGTTAAAATTTGTCATCATTCATAATGTGCATTATATAAATTGACCGATTGATTTAATGTTGACTGGTCTTTGTTGGGCAACTGTAACGCTCCATTAGTTGTGTAATTTTGAGCATGTTAGTGGGCACATTACATTCAAGTTGGGTGATTAATTTGAGATCTTGATAGAAATATATTTTCGGGCATGTCAGTTCACATATCAAGAAGAAAATAACGATGCTTGCAAATTTTGACTGTCAACAAATTAACCGTATTAGGAAAGAAAAGATGACTTGTGGTGCGACGAATAAGAAGAACAAAAAAAATGTAAAATATGTTAGGCCCACCAATTCAAATTATGATTCACTAGTGGTGGAGCTTCTTCTATCAAAGGGAAAACAGTTGAGATTCGTTCACCAAAATTGTTCCACGTAGTACCTTGGTTTAGTCATGTTAGCAGTTGGAAAGGTATGAACAATCTCTCTTACAACATTACATTATTGTGCTAAGAAATCGATAAGTGATTAAACTTTCCATTTCATATTTCAATGAAGAGATGCCACGTTTGGACATAAATTGTCTATGTTCCCTCCACACACAGACATATAAACTATTTTTTTGGAAAATTTTAAGAATCTAAGGTTTTTATTCGACATTGATTGTCTATGCTCTCGACTTTTGCAAATATACATTGTACCTATTTTTCTTCTTCAGTATTCGATACAATTATTTTGATCTAGAGCTTTTATTAGTAGAGCAGAGAGCGTTTTCAAAAAGAATTGTTAAAAATTTGTTGACTCTTCGCAAGTAAAATCAAGAGTGACATGAGCATTGAATCGATGATTTGAAAACATAACTATGAAAGTGCTTTTATTTTATGATTTGTACATACTAAAGAGTTATTTGACCAAGCAATATTTATTTATTAAAAGAAAAACAATTAAAAATAAAAGAAATAGTAGGCATGATTTGCATGGAATTAGAACCACATAAGCAGCGCTAATTGTATTAGGCATTGACTAGATCCTATGTGGCACAATACTCTCATGAAGAAAATTATTTAAATCCAAACCAAAGAACACCATTATAGACTTGTAATTATCTTGTAGGGGGAAATTGATTTACAAAAATCTCTTGTTCAGTAGTCAGTACTATATAAACGAGATAAGATTATATTATTTTACGATCTACCTCTAATTTTACAGGTATGAAATTTAGTAAATTCATGGTATTGCGCTTTTTTCGAATGTAACGAGGTGCTCTTACTTATTATTGCATTATTATTAATATTAAGCTAATCCTCGAAAGATAAGTTTTCTTGGACACAAAAACTGAAAGGGGACATTTCATATTCACCTACACGGAACCTTGAAGAGACTAAAAATTTGTCAAATTTGGCGACATAAGATAATGCCTTTACAAAACAGATAACATGCAAAGAGTCTATTAATTAATAATATAATTAATTGTTAAATAATTATTTCTTGTCACTTTAACTATAGAAATTATAAAATTGGGTCTAGTTACACTGATTTAGACCAAAAAGGCATTTAATTATTTTAATGAAGCAAATTGATGAAAAAAATTAATCAGGACAATTAGAAACATCGTTTTGCAAGCATATTGACATTTCCTTCGTCCTAACTCATATTTAGTTTTTTTTTTCAAATATAAAACTCTTAGTCGAGACGTTGATGAGATCCATCCTATCATTAAAATATTTTGAAATGTAACTATCTCGGTTTATTTATAAATTTCTATACAGTCTTACGTAGAATTAGAGTATAAGCTCTATAACCTTGAATATTTTTAAACTAACTGTTATTCTCAATAATTGATAATATAAATAAATAAAACCCTTTAGACGGGTCACCAACTTCTCATTTTTGGTCTTGAAAATATATCTACCAGTTGAACAACTTGTTACATTATATGTCTTATTTAAATTGACTAAAATTACAGATATTTTCTTCTAACTAGTTACCCAATGGATAAAGATATTTAGAGAAGTTGGATAACCTCAAAAATTTTATTTTTCATAAGGAAGACCAAACATGTAGACATTCCACAAGGTTTCTCCAATGTGGTCAAAATCACAATGGAAAATGGATAATCCGTTCGAAAATGATTGAAAAATATTGATTTTAATGAAAATGATGTATTTTTCAGAAAAAAATATAAAATGAGATATTAAATAAAATGAAACCACTCTCTTTAAACTTGTAATCATTGGTTGAGAATAATTAATGAAATGGTGATTAGTTTCTTTAATCCATTCAAGTAGTTTATGTCCTAAAAAGTGTCAAATAAAAAAAAAAAAGGAAAAAACAAAGAAAAAAAAAAATACAAGCTACCTTAGCTTAGAAGATAAATTACAAATGTAGATATTCATTTCACTATTTCATGGGATCACAAAGGTGGTGGCTGAAAGTATAGAACTCAGAAAAGTTGAAATCTATCTACATTCTTTGTTGCTTTCACTTTTCTTGCAAGTAAATTAATTTGATTTGCGATTATTGAACTTTTAACAAAATTTCAATCGGATCTTGTTGAAAAATCTTTGCAAGATTTGGGACAATGAAGAACAATCCACCTATCAACCTACAACAAGAAGAGAAGAAGAAGAAACAATCGATTTGAATAGCGTAGAATGCTATTCTAAAAGCGCATTTGCTCCTTCTTCTTGACCGAGATGCTTTAGAGTCTTCAAGCAAATAACTTTAGCCGATTCTCCAAGCCTCAAGCCGGATTACAAGAGCACAACTGAAATTTGGAGAATAGGAACTAAGAACTTTTTGGAAAATTTGAGTTTGGTGTTTGGAATCAATCTCAAGATGAAAAACACTTTTTTTTTTGCGCCAAAAAACATACCCCATATGCCAACAGGCACGAGGCATCACAGATGCACCGGCTAACAGTGCAGCACTCCATCTTATCATTATCATTACTCGTTGTTTCCTTTTCGTCCTATTGTCCCGTAAAACCAATACCTGAATAGTATGCATATTACTAATATTTAATTTGTCTTAATTGGATCATTGGAACATCTATTTAGTTTTAAATTCACCAATATGTAACATTTCGTCACCTATTGACACCCTAACTTACATAAATTTTTTAGTTGGCGATTATTCCATAATTCATCGTCCGTATAACCACTATACGACATCATAGAAGCGAAAATAGTAAAATAAGGTTATGACAAAGTCTTTTAATTAAAATGTTTTGAGAAGTTATCTATATATCTATGTGCATATACGTAAACTTGGTAACGCATAAAATTTGAACTTGATACTTTATCACGTTAGTCGAACTTTCTAACACATCTAAGCATTCTAGGTCAAATTTTTTTCAAGTGGTATCAGTACCTAAAATCGTGTCCTAGCCTTAAATAGTCTAGATGAGCACCTCATTGAATGTACCGTCCCACTTTTATGGTAGTAACTATGCATACTGGAAGGTTGGTCTGCCCCTAGTACCACAATAGATGGTGTAGTCACTCCCACCCCCGTAGAAAACTGGTCTAGAGCATAATTGGATAGTTGTAACTTTAATAGCAAGGCCATACATGCATTGTTTATGGTTGTGTCCTCTGACGAATTTAGGAGAGTATCTATGTGTGAGGTAGCTAAGGATGTTTAGGGTATTTTACAAACCACACATGAGGGAACCTAAGCCATTAAAAATTCTAAGTTACAGATGCTAACCAGTACGTTCGAGGAAATCAAGATGAGAGATGATGAGACATTTGATGTCTTTTATGCGAGCTTAAATGATATAGTGAATTCTTCCTTCAACCTAGGTGAGAAAATTCCTGAGCCCAAGATAGTTAGAAAAATTCTTAGATCCTTACCCGAGTGTTTCAGGCTGAAAGTCACAGCTATTGAGGAAGGTAAGGACATAGACACTATCAAGGTAGAGGAGTTAGTCGGATCCCTCCAGACCTATGAGTTGACCTTAGACAATCCTACTAAGGAAAAATCCATAGCCTTGAAATTCGCTAGGAACAATCGGATGGAATCTTCTAATTTAGATTCACTCAATGATGAAGAGATGACCTACCTAACTAAGAAATTCTGAAAAATGTTTCCGAGTGAATCTAGGAAGAAATCTAAATCCGTGAGATGCCATAACTGTCGCGGTTTCGGTCATATGAGGAATGAGTGCCCTAGTGCTAAGAGATTTGAAGAGAAGGCTATGAATACTACTCTCACTGATGACGAGTCTAGATCGGACAATCAAAGTGAGAAATCCACCTGTGAGAAGAGTGGAAAATATGTGGCTTTCGTTGCTAGGGGTAAAAGTGGATCCGAACAGGAGAGTGATAGGAAAGAGGACTTAGATAGTAGTGAAGAATATGGTGATGAGAGTGGAAGTGAGCAAGATCTAGAAACAGTCTATGATAGGATGTATGAGGAAAGCCTCAAGATCTTAGCCACTAACCAGGCAATGAGCAAGAAAGTGAAGGAGCTTAGACTAGAGAAGGAACATTTAGAGGCCCGGGTTAGTGATCTCACCAGTAAGAATGAGATGTCCTCTAGGAGAGTAAGTGAGTTGACCATTGTGAATGAGACCTTAGCTATTCAGGTTAAACACCTTGAGAGTGAGCTAGAGTTGTCTAGGTCTCAGTTACTTGCCTTTTCTAGCAGTTCTAAA